GGCCTCGAACTGTATTTTGTAGGCTGACCAGGGAGAAGTCCCGTCGAACGGTGGTACCTTGAACCCACGTAGCGAAGGTGTAGTAGCTACTGCGGGGGCTGCAATTCCATCTCCAAGTTTGAGTTCATCCAGCGTTTTCTTAACTTGGTTGATTTGGGTCTCAGCTTCCGACAGGCGGTTATCATGTTGAGCAACCTTATCCTTCACCTCCCTTATCTCTTTCCCGAAGGTAGCGCGAAGGTCCTTCATGAGAAGCATCTGCTCTTTCCTATCGCGTTTTAGCTGCTCTTCTAAGCGACGGGCCTGTTCCTCCTGTCGGCGCGCCTGTTCCACCTGCTGCTCTTTCAACTGACTGGCCTGTTCCTCCTGTCCCCGCTTCAGCTGCTCTTCGAACCGACGAGCCACTTTATTCCGCTCCGAAGCTTCGCTTGTCTCGCCAACTTCAATACTTCCCCGATCGCATCTTGCAGCGCCTATAAATATAAATTAGCACCGAAATATCCAGAATATTCAAGTAAACACGCGCAAGGTACCGAGAGTTCGAGTTTCAACTTCTAGAAGTTTAGTTCTTCGGTTCGAGACTAGATGGCGCTAGTGCCGTCGACTAAGGGGCGTAACAATAGTAAGAAAATTATGACTTTCCATATTAACATCAAGAACTGACCATCTGGTAATGGACATCTAAGCAGCTTGTTCAATCCACCATTGCTTTCAAAAATGGACGAAACACTAAAATGGATAAAATAAACCACCAATTTATTTGCCAATTCATTGCTTTTTGGTGCATAAGTACTTTAACCGTATTTAGCTTAATTAAGTACCTATAAAAAAAACTATTAAAGGTTTTCTTTTCAACATTGAACTACACGAGTATGTAATAAAAAGGATCTTAATTTGTAATAATATGTTAATAATATTATAACGAAAGAAATTATGATATAACAAAATATTACTACAACGTGGTACAGCACTATATTAATTTTAAACACTCGCTGCCCACGGTGAAATAAAATGGGGAAACAAGACGCCACCTGTTGCTCTCTCTATCGCACTTACGCATAGTTACGCACAACTGTCGTGTCAATGTGTTTATTATAAAAAAATTACTTAAGACTTCATAAAAAAATTTATAGAAGAGGGGGCAAATGAGCATGCGGATCACCTGATGTTAAGCGACTACCGCCACCCATGAACAACTGCAACACCAGAGAAATTTCAGGTGCGTTGCCGGCCTTTTAGAAAGGAGTAAGCTCTTTTCTTGAAGGTCCCTAAGTCGTATCGGTCCGGAAAAATCGCCGGTGGTAAACAATTCCTCAGAGAAGTTGTACGAACAAGAAAACTACTGGTAAAACGCACAGTGGTGGACCGCCAAACATTCAGATGGTGAGGATGGTATCGTGAATTTTGACGCAATGTGTGTTCGTGAAATTTGACAGCAGGAATTAATCCGATCAATTCAGAACCCGGGAATTACTGGTATGGCCGGTATATAAGGCATCACCAGTGCTGACGTCTGCATAGCAATGAATGTTACCAGTTTTAACAACACATCATTGACATGCAGAAGAAACGGTGTTGGTGATAGCACGCAGCCTTGTGGAACACCAGCGTTTATAGGCTTATAATCAGAACATGCACCGTCTACTACGATCATGATGCTCCAATCAGCAAGGAAACTGGTAATCTAATTGCACAATTTCTCGGGAAGTCCATAGGAAGGGAGCTTCGAAAGAAGTGCTTTGTGCCAGACCCGATCGCAGACCTTCGCTATGTCCAAACTAACGGCCAATGACCCCCCTTAGACTCTACGGCCTCCACCCATCTATGAGTCAGGTAGATCAGAAGATTACTAGCTGATCGACCACGACGAAAACCATATTGGCGGTCACTAATCAGCTGATGATCCTCAAGGTACCTCATGAGCTGGCAGTTTATAAGGGACTCCGTTATGTTGTAGAACAAAGAGGTGATGGCGATAGGCCTGTAGTTGGACTACCGGAAAAGACGCGTTAAAACTAGTGCCAACTCCAGAGCACACGTCTTTAGCACAATGGGAGGGACTCCATCAGGCCCACTTGACCTACTGATATTCAGGGAGAAGAATGCTTTGTGAACCGAGTGCTGTGTAAGCTGGACATCCGGCATGTAGCACTCACACCGCGGTATGGTCGGCTATGTATTCTCCCCGTCATTGAGATTTGAGTAGAATGCAAACAGAGAGCCTAACAGACAGATCGGCTTTCTTCTTTGTGGCATGGGCCAGTAAATCGCCCTCTCTGTGAAGAGATGGATGAGATGGCTGACAGAAGTTCCCTTGGAAAGCCTTGGCGAGAGTCCAGAATGCACGGGTTCCCGAAGGAATGGGAATTAGCTTCTTGCCAATTCTGTCGATGTGTTCAGACCTTGCCTTGGCAATGACTCTCCTGGAGGCGGAATTATACTGCTTTTTAAGAGCGCTGGTGTTTACGCCTCGGGACGTTCATGCGTCAGCTCAAGCCCGGTAGCACTCCTGCTTATAGCGTGATGTTATTTTACGGGAGCTACCAAATCATGACTGGAATCTGCCTCCGATGGGCACCACAGAGGATGAAATAAAAAGTTTCATTCCCTGAAGTACCACATCAGCGACAGAATCAGCATCAACGCTAGGATCGTGCGGCGAGAAGCAAGCCCGCCTCCAAGGGTAGGATGCAAAAAAGGCTGCATCCTATCCTAATGGGCTGACCTATAGTGCCAAACATGGCGGCAGCCAGCAGAATGCAACCGCGACGTTAGTATGACTGGCACCACACTCAGGACAAGACAATGGTCCGACAAGTCTAGAGATACGTTGATGGAAACATGATATCCGTCCGGATGAGAAGTCAGCAGAAGGTCCAAAAGCGAAGGTGCATGATCCTCCGTGGTCTGGAATCAGCATAGGCGAAGTAACCAGCTGTGTAAGACCATATGCCAAGGCAATGTCATAAACAGATCTCCCCGCATAGGTAGGACGTGCAAATGAATAAAAATTTAAAATAGGTAGACAATATTAATCATGATCTGAGTCAGAATCACTGTCGCTAACGTCACCTACGCCAATGATAAGGCGCTCACATAAAAACAGTTTCCGGGACACCTTAGATTTTGAGTGAGATTGGGAAGTTCTATGGGCAGCTGTACACATCATCGTCGGAGCCACACGCAAGTGTGAGTAACGATCCAAGAACAAGTCTTATCTGAACTATTTCGATGATATCCCGGACATCAGTCTGAGCGAGATTCGAATGGCTCCCCAGCACCTTAAAAACGGCAAGTCCCCGGGCGAGGATGGAATCACGACAGAGGAGCTTCTGAAAGTGGCTGGAAGACCGGTACTTAAAGTCCTTCAGAAGCTCTTCAATTCCGTCCTCCACGGTGGCACTCCATGGTGGAGTAGAAGTGCGGTGGTCTTGTTCTTCAAGAAAGACAACAAGAGAGCGCTCTTGAAGAACTACAGACCGGTTTCCCTTCTGAACCGCGTCTATGTGCTGTTCTCGAGAGTCATTAAGAATCTCGACTCGATGACTTCCAACCTCCCGAACAAGCCGGTTTCCGAAAAGGCTTTAGCACCATAGACCACATACATACCCTTCGGCAAATTGTACAGAAGTCCGAAGAGTACAAACTGCAACTTTGCCTGGCGTATGTGGACTATGAGAAAACCTTTGATTCCGTCGAAATTTGGGCGGTGCTACAGTCCCTTTAGCGGTGCCAAGTGGACTGTCGGTATATATATAGTACGACTAGGTAAGTCCAACTTCGATCGAGAGGTCAATCGACGGATTCAACTCGGCTGGGCAGCGTTCAGGAAATTACGACACATCTTTTCGTCAGGTATACCTCAATCTCTGAAAACTAGACTGTACAACCAGTGCATGTTGCCAGTGATGACTTACGGACCTGAGATGTGGTCCTTCACTGCTGGCCGTATGAGGACGCTCAAGGTCGCTCAGCGAGCTATGGAGAGGGCTATGCTCGAGGTTTCTCTGCGTGATAAACTTAGAAATGAGGACATGCGCAGTAGAACCAGATTGACCGACATAACCCAACGGATTAGTAAGATGAAGTTGCAATAGCCCAGCCATGTAGCTCGAAGAACCGACAACCGTTGGGGAGAAAAGGTTCTCGAGTGGCAGCCTCGTACTGGTAGGCAAAGTGTAGGGCGACCCCCCACTAGATGGAGTGACGACCTGGTAAGACATGCAGGAAGGCTCAGGACCGTGCTTTGTGGCATATCTTGGGGAGGCCTATGTTCAGCAATGGACTTGTGTAGGGCTGTAATTATGATGATGAAAAAGAATTAAAACGTTGTCACCCCTGAGGACTAAAGTGGAATGCTTCGTTTCCAGTAAAAAGGGTCTCCGGATCTCTACACTCACCATACGAAATTCAGAAGTATTAAGCTGCTATTTTACGCTGGTACTCTGTGAGAACGTGGTCCTACATCGGTCGAGCCGACCCATTCGTGCTATAACCATAATATAGCTGCACCGTGGTTCTACCACGTATAAAATAAAAATAGTATAAACCGTTATCAAAAATTTTCAAAAAGTTTTTGATAACGGTTTATAATATTTGAGAAATTTTAAATTAAATTCAATAACGGGAATTAAAATATTAAAATGGGCCTTACTTATATAAGTTTAAAAATGTCACTTTGTGGGTTTTGTGATCATTTTTGAGGAAATTTTTTAAGTGTTGGCTACACTGAACGTCTTTTTCTCTTTAGTTGTCAAAATAGGCGGAAGGTAATTCTTGTGGAATAAATCTGCTTTAATTTATTTAATCTTTTAATCAAAATAATGTATTTTGATATGTAATTCTGTTTTGAGAAGTTATTGTCGTATAGTATAATTATTTCTCGGAGATAATCGAATACGATCTTATGTTAACTGTTCTCTTTTAGGTAGGCTATCAAGATGTTGATGCCAAAACAAAATCGTGTTGCTATCTATGAATACTTATTTAAAGAAGGAGTCATGGTGGCTAAAAAAGATTACCATGCTCCTAAGCATCCAGATCTCGAAAAGATCCCTAACCTTCAAGTTATTAAGGCAATGCAGTCCCTAAAGTCGAGAGGTTATGTCAAGGAACAATTTGCATGGAGACACTTTTATTGGTAAGTAAGGATATTATTATATTTTTAATAACATTTATGTGTCCCTGGGTTTATATGTTCCGTGTTTATGTGGCTGCCTAGAAGAAAAGAAAATAAAGAGCAGGTCTAAACAGTGTTTTTCTACTTCTGTTAGGTTGTCGCCTACTTGTAGTTATCTACATTTTGCTATCACCGGGTTCTGGAAAAATCTAATGGGTTTCCATCTCTTATTATATTCATTTAGTGCACAGACATGACGGTTAAAGAATTGTAAATTGAAATGTTTTTAAATAGAAACAATTATTCTGCCCTGATACGGAAGAAGGCGGCTAAGCCACAAAAGTATGTTTCGAGAAAAATTGAAAAAAGCGCGAAGTTGGTTTTCTTGATAGATATGACCGAAAAAAATATTTCGACTATTGGAATCCATGTAAAAAAAAAATTACGAATCTTTTATAAATATGTTTGAATGAAATTATTGGCATACTGTTCTTTAAACTCTAAAAATGTAGTTAACGTAAGTATTGAAACATTGTATTTGAATATTAATTACAACATAAAAGGCCGTTAAGTATACTTTAACTGTTTTTTAGTATAGCATTGACAATAATCATACGCAAAAATGTGGCTAACCTACTTTAACTTTCTTTTAATTTTTGAAGCTTTGTTTAAATTATACACTTGGACCACACTCTATTGCTGTTAAGTGATATAACTGCCTTATAGTATAGTTTATCAGAAAATAATCAAATTAAGTAGAAGTGCAACTAAACTAAAAGGTAGTTAAATGTACATTAATCTCACGGAACCGCTTTTTTGATTAGCATTAGCATAGGTATATTTTTGTTAAGTAAGTTTGAAAAGTTGCTAAGTGTAAAATAAAATGTGCTTTAGTAAGAATATCAAAACTTTATTCATGCTTAGCACAAACAATTATAAGGAAAAACAAGGGATAGTTTTTTATTCTTAAAGAACCTGTTTTTTTTTATTTTTGAATGTGATTTCTGCTCTACTAAACCGTTTGCAATTATAATTCTAGATCTTCTGCTAAATCCGATCTGACGAATCTGATTTATTTACTGATTTTTTTATCATGAAAATTGGTAGGTGGCACGAAGTATGATACCGACTGATTATCGTCTTCTTCGAATCAGAACTGTTTTGCGACATCTCCACTGACGGTATATAGTCCATTCTTTTACAGAATCATCAGAGTCAAAATCTTCACTTTATTCTTAATAATGTCGCTCTTCTACTGATACTGAAAGACGTGCTGTAGATGGCAAGGAGTAACTAATTTTACAGACTTACTTATAGATAGACATAGACATTTTTGAATTTGGAGCTATTCGGCGGCATGTTTACTGAATTCAAAGCTTCACCGCAGTTAAAATCTTTATCGGCTAATTTAATGTAACGATGCTCTTTGACATATTTGGAGTTATTCTGGGACATGTTCATCAGTGGCACACAGTTTTTATCTATTAGCGATCAATTCTTAAAAAAATTAAATTAATTTATTTCAGACTTTTGGTCCATAAAATTGTTAGTACAAAATATGAGTTTACAAATTATCTTTGTAAAACAGAATAAAAACAACACTAAAACATTAATTTAAATATTTTCCGGTCTAGTTTGTGGCACTTGGTACATACGCATGAGTGTATATCCAGTGTCTCCATGTATGTATACCCAGTGTCCTTGACTGGACAGTCTGATTTACCACTAATAACCTTCAGAATAGTATCGAATTCCCTCGCACTCTGCACATAAGAGACGTGATACGTTGGCGTAGTACTACATCCCTGATGCACTGCAAAATCACAGCAGTCCCGACATCACTCGAAAGGCTATATTGAACTATACAATTAAATATAACATAATCATTACAATTATATACATCGCTTATAGATGGTACCATTTCTTCATAACAAAAAATATACCAAGTGTTTTATTCCTTTTCAGTTAGGTGAATTCATTGTGTATCTTTATTTTAGTGTTGTGAGATATCAAGTTTGAATATCCCGCTTAACTTTTGGAGTTGATAAAATTTTGTAAATTGATTCAGAATCACTTATGAGATTCATGGAGTATGATCAAGACCAAAGTGAATCAATTATTAAAGAACCAATCATGTTCAATGTGCCCACTGATTAAATGTAATTTACAGTCTTCTGCTGTCGCTTCTCTCGCCACGCTCACTAACTTTCTGCCTTTGTTAAATCAAGGCATTATTCAAGGTGTAAAATAAAAATATATATAAATACTCAAGTAATGTAAGAAGGGAGAACTAAGCCCCCATACGTTCGGAAACGATTTAGTATTAAATTAGGAAAAAAATTAGTTTATGAATTTGGTGTAATGGTAATCCAAATCCATGTATGCACAATGAAAACTATTGTCAGACCTCAAAATTGAATTGAACACTCCTTGGCCGTAGCGTATTTTAAAATTATTTTGTTATGAATATAACTCTCTTTTTACATATTAGAGAGGAGGAGATTTGAATAAAATGTGCTATTATTGATTACTTTTTAAGTAAAGTTTTTATGTGGCAATTTCATTGGAGATGCCAGTTTCAAAAAATATTCATATAAATTCATGAACTTAAATTTAAAATGAGTGGAAAATATAATTGTAAAAATAATTATATAATGATTTCTCATATTTACGCGAACATTACACATGTAAATAAAACTAGTTTTTACGAATTTTATCGCGTATATTAACTTTTTTATATTCCCGACGTTTCGAGCACTACAGCACCTATGGTCACGGGGGGGACTAAGATGTCCGTCGTCCCGATGTTATAGTTAACCACCAGATTAAAATCATTAATTTTTGTTTCGATCTACACAGTATGAACTTATAATATCTTGAAGTCTTGCAGTTGTATGCTTGGATTGGGATTTAATTTCATTAATTATAGGATCCCAAGCAGATGATAGTGCCCATATTTTATAAGATAGTACAAGCGATCGATTAAACCCCGCGGTAAAGAATATATAGCTGATGTGAAGAATCGACGCCTCCGGGCAGTAACGCAGTCTGTGAACATGTACAGGATCGCCTACCATCTGCTTGGGATCCTATAGTTAATAAAAATAAATCTCAACCCAAGCATACAACTGCAAGACTTCAAGATACTATAAGTTCATACTGTGTAGATCGGAACAAAAATTAATAATGTTATTGTGTGTATAACCCCGGGTAACTATAACATCGGGACGCCGAAGACCTCAGCCCCCCCCCCGTGACCATGGTTGCTGTAAAGTGCTCGAAATCGAAACGTCGGGAATATAAAAAAGTTAATGTCCGTTATAATAGTTTTTAACTAGTTTTATTTTAAAAATAAATATAACTATTTTATTTACTTTAAATTCTATTAAATTTCTTCCTTTTTTTAATTTAGTTGCAATTTAATGGGAAAATGAGTCTTAAAGTCCTTTTCATCAGAAAAGACACATTTTTTCGGAGAATTATTATACAGTTTTTTAAATCAAAACCCAAACCAAAGAATATACCTCTGACACACTCGGACAAGAGTTCTGATCATACTTTTTTAAATCTTAAAACTTGCCGATCTAATTCTTCATGTGTACACATCGATTGCTAAACTTACACTTAGACGCTTTTTAGAGTAGCACATTCACTTTGCCGCTGGTTAAATATTGTTCCAAATATAATTCAAAGGTTCATCATACACTAAAAAGCAGTGAATGCTTTTTTGGGAAGTACGTGATTTTAATATATTTTTTTAAATTCTACGCTTGAAAACAGTTAGGTGTTTTTAGCCGTGTTTTAGTGTCTACTACAAGTGTTTACCGCTTTTTAGCATATTATTAGGTATAGCCTAGCATGGCTGCAACTAAGTAATAAAGCAGTTATTTACGCTAAACGGCCTTTTAGATTATAAAATGTGTTTAACTGCATTTTTTCTTAGTTTTACAACATCAAATATTAAATTTCAACTAAGAAAATAAATCGTTAAAATCTCTTAACGGCTATATAGCGTAACGGTGCATCGTAACTGATTTCTAGCATATGACAGCAAAGAAAATTTTGCACTTAACCGCCAAAATGCTTAATGTATCTCAGGAACTATCAGTCGTAAAAATATAATTCCAATATTGGTCGATAGAGAATTTTTTGCTTAGTCTAGTGGTGCTGAAAGCTCAAAATCGACAAAATGCACTTAGCCGCCTTTTTCCGTATCAGGGCAGTATTAAATTTACATGTAAGGATATTGTGATTCTCTCTTTTGAGCATACTGTAGTGGCTTTTGTTGAGCTTGAGTACCTCATTGTTGTGTTTATAGACCTTCACTTGCAACATATAATTATATTTAAAATAATATAAACATGTGGAGGACTTTTTGCATAAGCTTAACTTCATAAAACCCAAGCCTAAAAATACATTAGTAAAATAACAACTCAGTGTCCTCAATAAACCACATATTCTTCTTGATAGCTACCATCCAGTATAAAAATTGAATTAAATACTGTGAAAGTTAAAAAATGTACTTCATGATTTTTTTCCAATAAAATATGTTATAAATAATTAATTTCTTTAAAAACATTTATGTGATTACATTTAATCATATATGTAAAATCACCTATAATCTGTTCATGCATTTTCAAGGAAAATGAAACAAAAAATATTATAATAATGTACACAGTTTTATTTTTAAGTTTTCAAGGAATTTAACTTTTATAAGTCACACTTTATATTTTGATTTATAAATAAATTAGAAATTAAACAAAATACACTAACATAGTATAATCAGTTTGTAAAAATTTTGTCAAAATCTAAATAGGTAGTACTTTACTGCTAAAACAAGTGGTAAAATTAGAAAAAATTGTACAACCAATTTCAATATAAATAAAATGAGGAAATTATCAATGTAGTAGAAGTCTAGGTTGAAATTTAGAATCGTTTGGCAGGAATTTGGGGGAGTAAGGTGTTTCATTTGGTAGAGGTTTGGTCCCCGATTATAATAATACCAATCACATTAAAAGGTAATGCACCATTCTTGAGAAAAATCAAAAAGATAATCGCATAGAACTAACCCCAAATGAATTAAGGGGGTGGAAGGTGGTGGAGAGGGAGGCAGGGGAGTTGTAGTTGCCCCCACTTCCACATCCTGCTGGACATGCTTAGTTTTTTTTTTTTAAATTTTAAAAAATCTAATTTTGAGGTTATGTTTTTGACTATAAACTTGATTTATGCGGGGTCTATTCGCTCGCTCACTCGAGCCCGCCATCCCCTTTTAACCTAACCTCTCCATGTCGGGGTGTCCTAAGTACCGAGCTCACTTCGCTCGCTCTTGCACTCAAGAAAACACCGAAATAATATCTTTTATGATTACTTTAAATTATAAACATAATATATTATACAGTAATAAGCACACTACGGCTCGCACAGGTGTCTGCAATTTGCTACGAAAGGCGGGGATGCTCTCCCTCCGGGCCTAAGGCTTTAAAAAACACTTTAGGAGTAGGGCAGACAAGACTATGTGGATTCAGGGCGTGCTGATTTAATTTTAGTACAGATTCGATCAGATCAAATATCTATAGAGTGAGTTTGCCTTTGCTCCCGCCACAGACACAAAATTCTGTATGCTATCCAGCTTTCACTGTAATATCGTATTTTTTTTCAGAAGGGCTAGAACCCGGAGCCATAAAGCCTGTTAATAATAAAAAATGTATCATTTTCCATACCATGAAGGTTAGAGAACAAACTTCATCTACTTGTACTCATAAACAGCTAACTTTGCAGTCACTATACTCACCGATGTCAGTGCCACTATAAATTCTACAATTTTCAAGGACAGGCGGGCTATGCTTTAGTACGTAGCGATAGTTCTGTTTTCTAAACTTCATGTTCCATACTTTACGCATTTTAGGTTATAATAGTTTTTATTTATTTTTTCGATAACGGTGCATTACCTTTTAATATGAGTAGAATTATTTTAATCGAGGACCAAACCTCTAACAAATAAAACACCTTAATCCCCTAAATTCCTGCCAAACTATTCTAAATCCAACCTGAAGTCTATTAAATATGCATTATTAAGGATTATTAAAAAATCAGCTTACAGTGGTTACTCAGGATTACTTTTGTGTGAATACTTTCTTGTTCCTGATTGAGGAATCTTACCCAGTCTTTAAAATCATATTTTTAATTAAACAAAGCTGCCTGACAGATGCTAATGTCACTTGGTGAAATAACGTTGCCAGGTTCATTGTAATAGTGATGCGTTCAGTCAGTCAGTTAGTATACGATGACTTGATGATTATGACTAAAATTAAATTAACCTATCTTGATTTACATTGTGAAACTTCTTGATGAATATTATATCATTGAAATAAACAGAAAAAATATTGTTAGTAAGAATAATAATTTAATACTATGGTGACTCAAAGGGGCGCTCCGACTTTCGCAACGCACACTGCGCCCGCCGTGTCGGTCGCCGTTTAGTGTGTCATTTGTCTTGTTATTCATGCCTAAGACAGGGGGTCTTACGTTTTTGGCAGTACTCTATAATCCAACAAATTTGATAGTTCGACACTGCCCTGCAAAAAATTTGTCGGATTACCGAGGGTCAACTGTATATATGAAATTAAAGCTATTTTTTTCTAAGCATGATGGAATACGGTTGCCTATGTTAAAGTGGCTAAAGTTAAGGGTAACTAGCTGTTAAATAGAGATTGAAGTGAAAAAGAATTAGCACTACATCATTCATTAGATGAGGACGGCAATTGCTTATCTACCAAATGTTGAAAATTTTTAAAATAATTAGACGAGAATTTATTAATTTAAATTATTTTTGGAGTATTATAAAGTCGTTCCTACTACTGTTCCCACTAGTGGTTAAGAACACTAGCTGCCGACATATGCGCAATGGGCTTAAAAACATGGACAGCTGGCAATTACCATTCTCGTCAACGAATGATGTAGCCTGCTAATTTATTAAAATTAGATATTGATTAATAACTAAATGAATGTAGTGATCTTGCAACCAAATCCCGTACTAATAAGACTTGTTCAGAATCCATTGATATTTCTTAAAATTCATTTTCTCAATATGAACAGTATTGACATGACCTCATCGGATGGCATATTTAAAATTCCCCCTATAAATATTTAAAACTTTGAGGTATTTGGTTAATATTTTTTACTGAAAAGTCATTGGCCAAAGTTTATTATGCATCAGATTTAAAGTCGTATTTTTAATTAAACGAAGCTGCCTGACGTTTCCTGGGTATGTCAGGTTTTGATGAATCAAAAATAGTGTTGTGTCTAGATGACTGAAAGAAAAACAAAATGACTGACTGATTAAGAAAACAACTGAATGGTAAAAAAACTTTTTTTTTAACTGAAGGTTTTAAAAATTATGTCAAGATTTACGTAAGGTATGTTGTCAGTTCATCAGACGAAAATTATCCATAGTGTATGTCATCATGGCCATTTTATAAAAATAAAACTATGCTTAAGTATTACATTTTTTTATTCATCGTTATCAGATATACCACATTTTTTTTGCTATTTAAAATATACGCATTATTAATGAAGTAATGGCAATTGAAGTGCTACTGTTTTCAATCTGTTTTATCAACCAAGTGTTTAATCAATAACAAGTCTATGCTGATCTTTCATTAGTAGGCAGTAACTAGTACTGGAAGGTCTACTTAGATTGCACTCTTATTTAAGGTCATTGACATGATTAGGCAAAAAAATCGAAAACTGTGGTCGGGTCGCTAGTCAAATAATAAATCTGTAATTATGGAGTCAGTAACTAAGTACCTAATTATCTAGATATACGTAGGTCACTCAATAAGTTTTGAGATGCTCGAAACTTAAAAATGGAATGCACCCATGTTATATGTTTCTAAAAAGCAAATTTATTTAAAAATAGAACTCCATAAGCCAAATACTCAATATTAAAAAAAACAACAAAGTTCTATTAATTTTCCTGCAACGCTTCTCGCTCTTTTCATTTAAAACGGATCATAACTGTGAACATTTGCGCGTTATTATCTATTATGAAATGTTGGTGCGGGAAGACCCACGAATCACATATACGGACATCGAAAAGATTTTAGGCATTAGTTCAGGGAGCATTCATACAGTCCTACATCAATATCTTGGAGTGAGGAAGCTTTGTTGTCGATGGATCCCTTGTTTGCTCTCCGAAAGCGAAAAACAGACGTGTGCATTGGTGCCATGAAATGCATCTACATTTTGAAAACGGGGCATCTAGGCGTGTTTCAGAAATCATTACTGTTGACGAGATGGATCTATCAATATGATCCGGAAAAAAAAGGAAAATCATCGATATAGGTCTACTCAGAAGGACAGTTACCCACAAAACTGCAAAGACCTCGCAATGTCGGTAAAGAAATTGTGTTAAGTTATTTTTCGCGGAGTGAACATTTGTCGACGTCAATACTGGAAAATTGTAGGTCAGTCAACTCTTTCTACATTACCCAAAGCTTTTCAAGCTGTGTGTGAGAGAAGACCAAAGGCCGGGCTTCGGGGAATCATGCTGCATCATGATAACGCCTCTTCACATACCTCCCTTAGAACAAAAGCATTTATTGAAAAATCTGGTGAAACTCTTAAGTCCACCCACCCTACAGCCATGACTTAGCTCCTTGTGATTTCTTTTTGTTCCCAAGAGTCAAAGAAATTTTTTTCAAGCGCTGAAGAAGCTGTGGCTGCCTACAAAGAAGTGATGTCCGACCTGTCAGATCGAGACTGGCAAAAGTGTTTTCAGAGTTGGTTTAGGCGAATGGAACTTTGTATTAAGCATGATGGAGAATATTTTGAAAAATTGTAAAATAAATCTTAATAGTATCTAGAATACTTTTCGTATATCTCAAAACTTATTGAGTATATACATACCAATAAATAATAATATCTTAACTTTCGGTAAATAAATATCAAAAGTGTCTAAATACTTATAAAAAAAAATACTTTTTTGTTAACGTAAGGCGCGCTTTAGCTCGAGCGCGCGAGTGACAACCTCAGGTATATTTTCATGCCTAATGCGCGGAGTGAGACTGGCCTCTCCATAGTGAAAATGCCCTTATAAGCAGTGGCGTAAAGGGGGTTGGCCGCTAGCCATGACTACCGATTGAAAATTTTTAGAGGGTGACATGTTACAAAAGAATAGATGACTTCCCATAATTATTACCTTTTTTTTATAGGATATGGTGACAAACGAGCACATAATCCACCTGATGGTAAGTGGTTGCTGTGGCCCATAGACATCTACATCTATCCTCAATTACGAATCAAAATGCAGATGCGCTGTCTCCCGTGAGGACTAAGATACCTCGTTTCCAGTAAAAAGGGTCTCCGGTTCTCTACACTCACCATACGAAATACAGCAGCATTAAGCTACTATTTGACGCTGGTATTCTGTGAGAGCGTGGTCCTTCCCCGGTCGAGCCGACCCATTCGTGCTACAACTATACTTCTAATATAACTGCAGCATGACTCTACCACGTACAAAAAAATATTTATAAATTTATTAGTTATGAATTTTAAAATAATGCCAGTAATAATTTCTAAAAAAAATTGAAATAGACCTTACTGAGTATTTTTGCTTAAAATATAACCAAACACAATTGCCAAAAATAAAGAGTTTACAAATTTAGTTAATTTTAGTCATTTAGCCTGACCAGTATTCTTTTGCATTTTGAATAAAGAATCTATATTGTAGTATAATATATTTCAAATAATATACTTGAACTATAGAAAAGACTTAATTATTTTTATATTTAATGAGATTATTGTGTAAATTGGTGGGGAGGGAAGCAATATTTTCGGTATAATCGGTCCCATGCGGCAACAAACTTTACATTTAATTCCAACTTACTATGGAATGATATCAATAATAATCAAATTTATTGTTTGTTTTAAAGTTGTTTTATTAGTATAAACATTTATTTTCAGGTACCTTACAAATGAGGGAATTGAGTACCTAAGGATCTTCCTCCACCTACCACCTGAAATTGTACCAGCAACACTAAAACGTTCAGTACGAACAGAGACAGTACGCCGTGGTGCTGTGGGTAGGACAGATGCACCAGCCCGTGCTGCAGAAGATCGCTCTGCATATCGTCGTGCTCCGACTGCACCTGGTGCCCCACACGATAAAAAAGCTGATGTTGGTCCTGGCTCAGCTGATGTTGAATTTGTAAGTATTTTTGCAGTATTGATTCAAAATTTAAGGTTACCTTTTTTTAAAGACAAAAAGAAAATGATTGGGTACCTTTGATTATATACCTGTCTAGATAGAGTGTTGCGCTACAATCGCAACAAAAACAACGGGTCCGATTTCGAGCGCTTGTGTGCTTATTACACACACAAGTATGCATAACTACTATTGTTTAACAAGCGCGCTGCGTAACCCAAGGGCGAGCTGAGTGATACCAGGTCTTGAATATTTCCCATTAGATTAAGTACTTATCTGACATTTAATTTTTTTATATATACATACTTATTTTGATTTGGCTAGTTATAAAATAATAACGTTTCTCATGACAATTGTACTTTTAATTAATTTTATTTAATTTGATATAAATTATTTATATATTGACTTGCTTACTTATAAAAATAATGATTTAATATATTATGTTAAATAATATTCACATGTCAGATATGGTAAACTTGTTGTGGACTATGTACAACTTTGTCATCTTTAATGTACCATGTTTATTGGTATTTATATAGTTAGCTTTGGTATTTATGTAGTTTTAGTTATAGTTTTATAATATATAAATGAAAATGATAAATATACATACATATCAATAAAATAAATAAATAAAATATCTTAATAAATAAAATCCAACCAGATGGGAGACCTCGCCAGGGGAAACCAAACGGCGGAGGCTTTGATTATGTACTTGTTTTATCAGATGAAAGTTAAACAAAATAGGTTTAATAAAGTAATTCTATGTAGATTACTTTTATTTATTTTATTTAAAAATATAAAAATATTTGAAAGAACTAACAAAAATACTATTTAGTGCCTGACATCATGGGTTTCATTTATTTTGTGTAGGTAAGTTATCATTTACTGATCAAATTACTAAAGTAATTTTTAAAATGATAATGTTCTCCTGATCGAAAGATGATGTAATAATATTTGTATTTTGTCTCCCATAGTTTCGTCAAAACTCCCTAGTAATAAACTGACAACACCGGCTGATCAGACTAACCTACAAAGTAACAAATCAAAAGATCGTGTTTTCATACAACAATAGTGGTTAAATAACAAAACTTATTGATGAAAAGTGATCTTAGTGTTATTATACGGTTTTCTCACATAATTGCGACACAATTTAATAACACAAACCGGCATAATTAATTTTTTTGTGAACACATTATCCCTAAGTGATTCAAATGACACTGACGTGGGTGAGAAGCGAGTCTACTAATTTTAGTAGACTTTATTTGGGCCATTCTGTATGGACAATGTGGCATCTAGACTGGTATATAATCAAAGTTAGGTACCTATGTTCATTTAATTAGAATTTAAATTAGTTAACAGAGTGCCTAATGTTAATGGCTACTATATGCCCATGGAAACTCAACAAAATTCTAAGAAAGAAGGCTATAAGTGCATTGTCCTATGTGGAAGGAGATGGAAAACCTCAAATCTGGTGATGACACAATCTTATGATAGTTTAACGTTTTTGTTAAAATTTTTTGTTAATAAGTTCTGAAATATTTTTTTTTTGTTACAGAGAGGAGGATTTGGACGTGGTAGGACGGGTCCTTGAATAAGTTTTAAATAAAAAAATGAAACATTTCTGTGTTTACTTTATTTAGTATAGTATACATTAATGGGGATAGGTCTCTAGTTATTACAGTACCTGACTTCTTCAATATGAGCTGGTTTAATTCCCAAGTCTTTGATTATCCTTACTCCAATTAACTTTCTATTCACCTTCATGTTCTTACCAGATCGTCACTCCATATGGTTAGGGGCGACTTTACACTTACCAGTTTGAAGTAGCCATTTTAAAACCTTTCTTCCCAATCGGTTGTTAGTTTGTAGAGTTATATTGCTGGCCTATTATCACATCATCTTATTTTCGTTAGGTATGTTGGTGAGTTTCCACTGCGGATATAAAAAGTTCAAGATATGACAACCTTGTAATATATGAATGCCCCAGACTGATTCAAAAGAAGTTTTTTCAATAGATTATACTAGGCGAATAAATTCGAAATGCGATATGGTGCCTTTTCATTGACCGATACGCAGTGGTGTGGCGAGACCTAGATTAAATGTGGGCCAGGTGAATTTTGCGAGGCTGAGGCGACGATTAAGTATTTTAAATTAATTATTGTATTTTGATTGCCATACCCGTCACAATTTCACTGCTGAACAAAGACTTCCCTCAGTGACTGTCATGTCTTGAGTCACCAAAATACATCAACGTCCTGCATGGTTTACCTGGTTATTTGGCCTGCGTTTAGCAGAGGGTTACTTCGTTCCTATTAGCGCTTCGAGTTATAATCGGCGCATTGCGAAGTCTTTATTGATACTTTGGACGATGACGGAAATTCTGGTTCTCCTGCGGATATCTTCGATGCGGATTCTGTTACGCAAAATAAACCCGAGCTTGCAGAAAGACTTTCTCTTGCATCCATAGTAAAGGACCATTTCTCGGTTCCGTAGGTCATTGCTGGCTGCACACACTTATTCTGAAATGTTAAGGTTTATTACCCAGTCGGGTTTGATTCTTCGGTGGATTACTTGGTAAAATATGGGCTTTCCTAGTGGAATAATTTCTGTGCCTGGTGAAAGACAAAGTTAATAACTTACAAAATAAAAAAGTTTATTACTCTTAAGTTAATTACTCTTATGCATGGTTCCCCATGGATGAAGATGTCAACATATTTGTTATTTTAAATAACATATTTTCCTTCAATATTTGTGTCAGGCAACAACCCTCGTATAGGTTTGACATGATTACATTTTTGTGATGATTAACCCGTGTGTGAGCATCGAGGGAAAAAGCTGGGAATTCGCGAAATGAATTGCTAAGAATTTAGTAGTTGGCCTAAAACAATATTGTAGAACGTATCCTAGAATTTGTAAAAGAATATATTAAAAGTTACAGCCCTTCAAGTGTCCTCAGGTGACACAGTTTATTAGCCAGATCTCGGAAAGTATCTTAAAAATAAAGTTAATGTGATTACAGATATTTATTGACACGCACAGATTATTTTTGACACAAAATACCAGCGTAAAATAGTAGCATAATGATGCTGTGTTTCGTATGGTGAGTGTAGAGAATCGGAGATCCTTTTTACGGGAAACGAGGCATTCCATCCTAGTCTTCACGGGTGACAACGCATCTTCATTTTGATTCGTAATTGAGGATAGATGTAGATGTCTATGGGCCACAGCATCCACATACCATCAGGTGGACTGTGTGCTCGTTTGTCACCCTATCCTATAAAACAAAATAAAATAATACTCATTTTTTCCTTTATTCGTATCCATGCGTCATGTACTTTCATTTTATTTTTACGATCTTTGTGTTTAGCATCCCATAAAATGGGCTCGACATGATAACACTCCATCAACAAGAGTTCGTGATCGTTCGTCCAACTGACACTTATTTTGAAACACCGTCCTCCGTAAAAAATACAAATATGCCCAACCTCACAGCAACGAGTCTCGCGCGTTATGGCGGCTCCACATTAACTCCGTGAATTCACAGAACAAGTCGTGCCCTCCACATTCACGGGATGCTCAGTGCTCACAGTCGTTCGTGAAACCCGCCGCGAAACGGACGTAAAATCTGCTGCTACAATAACCTTATTTGCTGTGCAATATATCACTACGCATACATGCTCGTCGGTTAAGGGTACTCCTAATTTGGCCCGTTTTCAATAAATCGCCAATTTGGTCGATAAATTTTCGCCTAGGACGTCCCTTTCCGACTCTGCCATTCACTTCTGCACCATAAATTTTCTTTGTCACTCTTTCCTCATTCATTCTTTCCACATGACCAAACCACCGAAGCATTCCTTTCTTAATCCTGGTCACAACATCATCTTGCAAACCACACTCTTCTCTTATTACACAATTCCTTACCCTGTCATTCAGATTCAGCCCTAACATACTCCTTAACGACCGCATTTCTACTGCGTTTATTCTACTCTCGTGCTTCTTCTGCCACACCCAACTTTCACTACCATACGTTAAAGTAGGGACCAACACAGCATTGTGCAATTGCCATACGTGCCTTTTTCGACAAATTTTGACTCTTCACAATAGAGTGCAAGGCCCCATTTACTCTATTTCCCGCATTCACTCGTCGTTCTACATCCTTATCATATCTCCCATCCCTGCTAAATACGCAGCCTAAATATACAAACTCATCTACTTGCTCGATCAACTCACCTTCTATTCTTATTTCACAAATCGTTTTACTTTCTTCTCTTTCAAAAACCATAATATTCGTCTTACTTGCGTTCACTTTCATACCCCTTTCTTTTAATGATCCGTTCATTAATGTAACCATCATTTGCAACTCGGCCGCCGACGACGCAAGAATAACTTGGTCATCGGCGTACAAAAGGCATTTGACGGTTAACTCACCCATTCTTAATCCGCATTCTTCAACTTTCTAATTTTGCAAACAACTGTCCATAAATAGGTTGAACAGCCACGGGGAAGCCACACAGCCCTGTCTGACACCTTTCTGGATGTCAAACCAGTCCGAGTAGACCCCGTTGATCCTAACACAAGCACTAGAGTCCCTATAAGGAGACTCCAATGCCTGTATCAAGCCAGCGCTCAACCCAAATGAGTTCAGTGTTTGCCATAGCAAATCCCTATCCACTCTGTCATAGGCCTTTTCCAAGTCCATGAACGCATAAAAAACCTTCTGGTTTTTGGCCAGAAACTTCTCCGCGATCATGCGCATGGAAAAGACTTGATCTGTACATCCCATTCCCTTTTAAATCCCGCTTGCACATCCCAAATTTTCCATCAGTTTCTTTCATGACCCATTCAATCAGTACCTTAGCATCAGTTTTCCCACAATCTAAGAGCGATGCCACGGTAGTTTTTACAGTCCTGCTGCGACCCTCTTCCTTTATATACTGGGACTATTACGGCTTTGCACCAGTCTACCGGTACCCGCTTCAGTTCCCAGCATAAATTAAACAAGGTGTGCAGCAGGCCTGCCACCACTTCCTCTCCAGCCCTTAGCATTTCGAGTGAAACTCTATCATATCCGGCAGCCTTACCTGCTTTCATGCTTTTCATTGCTTTCATTATTTTATCTATACTTATCTCGCTACCTCTTTCCTCTTCTTTCGGTGTTTCTACTCCACTTAGTACACACGTCTCCTCACTCATAAACACGCTTTCAAAATATTCCTTCCATCTCTTTAAACTCAAAACTTCATTCAGAATATAGCCATTCTCGTCTCTTATAGCATTCATCATAGGCTGTTTTGAATGTCCCCTGGCAGTTCTTACAAGTTTCCAGAACTTTTTAATATTTGCCTGGAAGTTATCCGATATTCTTCTATCATTCTTATCCGTTCTTTCTTACTTTTTTCTTTCAACTACTTCTTTTACTCTCTTATTAAGATGTCTAAAGACTGCCTTTTTTCTTTCAATATCACCATTCGTACCGCCAGAATTACCAGCCTTTCTTGCTAGTAAATCTAGCCATGCTCTCTTCCTTGCTTCAACTTCCATACGTATCTCATCATCCCACCGTAACGTATTATTTTTCCTTTCATTCTTTCTCTTACTAACACCACATACTTCGGTAGCTGCATCCACTAAACCTTTCTTTACATTTTGCCATATATTCTCCAAGTCTAACTCCTTCATACATAATTCATCCAAACCACTTATATTTTCTTTCAGTCTACATTTGAACTTGTTTTTATCACTTTCATCTTGTAACCTTTCTGTTCTAATACGCTGTAACGCAGTGGTAGACACAGACGATCGATGGCGCCAGCGCCTGAATAGACCATTAATTCGGCATAAAACTAAATAATGATCCGTTCCTACGTTAGAACCCCGGTAAACCCTCGTATCTACCACTGCGCCCCTCAATCTTTCATCCACAATTATGAAATCTATCATGCTTCTATCGTCACCTCTTTCCCAAGTATACATGTGAATCTTCTTGTGGCGAAAGCAAGTGTTCGTCACAAAAAGATTTGTATGGATGTGAAGGAGGCAAGAGGTGTGTCAGGCTCGTGCCAAATGGAAGTCTGTAGTCTCTGCCTACCCCTCTGGGTGACAGGCGTGAGTGTTTATGTATGTAATATATCACTATTTAGACGTCCAAAATAAGAAATTTATTAGAAAGCGTTGAAAAAAAAGAAGATGGTGTATGATTGAAATACATCTTCCGTACGCCTTTGTAGTCCGAAACCAACTGGCACGGGGCCGTGAATGTGGATGTGTACGCGTGAACGCCGCGCGAAGGGTACGTGAATTCTTTGTCGCGCGGCAAAATACCGACTTTGATCGGGGAACAGGCGTGAACGCGCGTGAATCCACACTCACGTTCACGCCTGTTTACGGAGCTTCACGGTGATAATGTGGAGCCATCATTAATTCCATTAGTGGATTCCATTATTGACGACTGCGTGGCGTAGTGGCTTAGCAATGAGTGGCTGCGCTGAGGGTCGCGGGTTCGAATACCGCACGGAACAAGTATTTGTATAGCTTACAAACAGTTCCGGGTCTGGATGTTTGTCCTTGTGCAATTTATGTTTGTAAACTGCC